CCATCGGGACGGCGGATATCCTTAGCCGTGCGCACGACGACAGCCTTCATCACGTCGCCCTTTTTGACGCGCCCCCGCGGAATAGCCTCTTTGACGGAAACAACGATGATGTCTCCGACCTGGGCGTATTTACGCTTGGAGCCGCCGAGCACTTTGATGCACATGACACGACGGGCGCCGGAATTGTCGGCGACGTCGAGGTTTGTTTGCATCTGAATCATGACTGGCTGCCTTGTTCTTCTAGTGGCGCTCGGGTCACGGGCGCCTGATGCTCACTGAATGGAGCGTGGTCACTGAGCGACCACAGTCCAACGTTTGTTTTTCGAGACCGGCGCACACTCTTCAATCTGAACAGAGTCGCCAACCTTGTACTGGTTGCTTTCGTCGTGTGCACGGTACTTCTTCGTCCGGCGCACAGTCTTCTTCAGCAGCGGGTGGGTGAAGCGGCGCTCCACGTTAACCGTCACCGTCTTGTCATTCGCGTTGCTGACAACGGTGCCCTGCAGGATACGCTTCGGCATTGCCGTCTCCTTACGCGTTAGTCGACACGCGCTTTTCGCGCATGATCGTCTGGATACGCGCGATGTCCCGGCGGATCTGCCGGACTCGCGCTGTGTTTTCGAGCTGACCCGTTGCCTTCTGAAAGCGCAGATTGAACTGTTCTTTCTTCAGGACTTCGAGCTCACCACGGAGCTCGTCGGGGGTCTTGGCCCGTACATCGGTCGCCTTCATGGCTTAACTCCTCGCGTGCCTTACTCGCCGATACGCTGAACGAAACGGCACTTGATCGGCAGCTTGGCGGCGGCAAGACGCATGGCTTCACGCGCAATGTCTTCCGGCACACCGTCGATTTCAAACATGATCCGGCCAGGCTTGACACGGCAAGCCCAGTAATCCGGAGAACCTTTACCCTTACCCATGCGGACCTCGGCTGGCTTCGATGAAACCGGAACGTCCGGGAAGATACGGATCCAAACACGACCCGCACGCTTCATGTGACGGGTCATAGCACGACGGGCCGCTTCGATCTGACGTGCAGTCACACGCTCTGGCTCCAAAGCCTTCAGACCGAATGCGCCGAAGTTGAGGTCGGTGCCCCCCTTCGACAAGCCGTGGATGCGGCCCTTGTGCTGCTTGCGGAACTTTGTGCGCTTCGGTTGCAGCATCGTTCTTCTCTCGTCTTTCTTGTCTTACGAGCGGCTGGCAGCTTGACTTAAGCTGCGCGCTCGCGGCCCCGATCCCGGCGTCCGCCGCGATCACCGTGGTTACCTTCGGAAGCAGCCGTTGCGCGACGCTCGGACGCCATCGGGTCATGCTCCAGAATTTCACCCTTGAAGATCCAGACCTTCACACCGCACACACCGTAAGCCGTGTGGGCGCTCGCAACACCGTAATCGATGTCGGCACGCAGTGTGTGAAGCGGCACACGGCCTTCACGGTACCATTCGATACGCGCGATTTCCGCACCGCCGAGGCGGCCGCCGCAATTGATCCGGATGCCCTGGGCGCCGAGACGCATGGCGGACTGAACAGCCCGTTTCATGGCGCGGCGGAAAGCAACGCGGCGTTCCAGCTGCTGAGCGATCGAGGCGGCAACCAGTGTCGCGTCGATTTCCGGCTTGCGGACTTCAACAATGTTGAGGTGCACTTCCGAATTGGTGATATCGGCAATCTTCTTGCGAAGACGCTCGATGTCGGCACCTTTTTTACCGATGACCACACCCGGACGGCCGGAATGAATGGACACGCGGCACTTCTTGTGCGGGCGCTCGATCACAACCTTTGAAACCGCGGCCTGCTTCAATTCCTTCAGGAGGAATTCACGGATGCGGAAATCTTCATGAAGAAGATCGCCGTATTCGTTCTTGTTCGCGTACCAGCGGGAATCCCAGGTGCGGTTAATCCCGAGGCGCATGCCGATCGGGTTTACTTTATGTCCCATCAGGCGGTCTCCTCAAGTTCACGCACGACGATGGTCAGGTTCGAGAAAGGCTTCTCGATCCGACCGACACGGCCGCGTGCACGGGCCTGGAACCGCTTGATGACAAAAGCTTTGCCAACATGAGCTTCGGCAACCACCAGGTTGTCGATATCCAGGTCATGATTGTTTTCCGCATTCGCAACGGCTGACATCAGTGTTTTCTTGACATCCTGCGCGATGCGCTTGCGGGAGAACGTCAGGTCCGCAATGGCGGAACCGACTTTTTTGCCGCGGATCGCAGCCGCAACGAGGTTCAGCTTGCGAGGAGAAACACGCAGCATACGGGTCATTGCCCTTGCCTCGTTGTCAGCGAGCGTCCGCTCACGCTTCGGCTTGCCCATCGTTACTTCCTCTTCGCCTTCTTGTCGGCGCCATGACCGTAATAGGTCCGGCTCGGTGAAAACTCACCGAACTTGTGACCGATCATTTCTTCAGACACCAGCACCGGAACGTGCTTTTGACCGTTGTAGACGCCGAAGGTCAAACCGACGAACTGCGGCAGGATCGTTGAGCGGCGGCTCCAGGTCTTGATGACCTCGTTCCGGCCGGACTCACGTACCTTGTCCGCTTTGTTCAGCAGATACCCGTCGACAAACGGACCTTTCCAGATCGAACGTGCCACGATCCTTGCCCTTTACTTCTTGCGCGCGTGGCGGCTGCGGACGATATATTTATCAGTCTGCTTATTGCGCCGCGTACGCTTACCTTTGGTCGGTTTACCCCAAGGAGTAACCGGATGACGACCGCCAGAGGTCCTGCCCTCACCACCACCATGTGGGTGATCGATCGGGTTCATGGCAACGCCGCGAGTATGCGGACGAATGCCAAGCCAGCGGGAACGGCCTGCCTTGCCGAGATTTATGTTGCCGTGGTCCGGGTTGGACACGGCACCAATGGAAGCCATGCATGTGCCAAGCACACGGCGCTGCTCACCAGACATGAGACGCAGCGTGGTGTAGCCTTGGTCACGGCCTACGATTTGAACGAATGCACCGGCAGACCGAGCGATCTGGGCGCCTTTGCCCGGCTTCAGCTCAATGTTGTGCACGATCGTTCCAACCGGAATGCGCGACAGCGGCGCTGCGTTGCCCGGCTTCACGTCGACGTTTTCACCGGCGACAACTGTGTCACCGACAGCCAGGCGCTGAGGCGCCAGGATGTAGCTCAGTTCGCCGTCTTCGTAACGGATGAGAGCGATGAATGCGGTCCTGTTCGGATCGTACTCGAGACGCTCGACCGTTGCCGGCACGTCCCACTTGCGCCGCTTGAAGTCGACAAGACGGTAAGACCGCTTGTGACCGCCACCGCGGTTTGGAGACGTCAGACGACCGGTGTTGTTACGACCGCCCTTCTTGGACAGACCCTCGGTCAGAGTTTTGACCGGCTTGCCCTTATGCAGGCCAGAGCGGTCAACCTGAACAAGCTGACGGCGACCTGGGGACGTCGGATTGAATGTCTTTAGTGCCATTTTCTAAGTCCCCGCCTCAGAGCCCGGTGGTCACGTCGATGCCGTGACCTTCCTGCAGCGTAACGACGGCCTTCTTGAAGTCGGACTGGCGGCCAAGACGTCCGCGGAAGCGCTTCACCTTGCCCTTGCGGACCAGGGTATTCACTGCCGTGACCTTGACGCCGAACAGTGCTTCGACAGCGGCCTTGATTTCCGGCTTTGTTGCGTCATTGGCAACCTTGAAGACAACCTTGTTCTCTTCGGAAGCCATCGTCGACTTTTCGGTGATTACCGGGCCAACGATTTTGTCATAGTGAGGAAGTTTGCTCATTTGAAGCGCTCCTCAAGTGCGGACACCGCAGCCTTGGTCAACACCAGGGTGTTGGCCCGCAGGATGTCGTAAACATTGATACCCTGCACCGGCAGCACATCCACATGCGGAATGTTGCGGGACGCCAGTGCGAAGTTGTTGTCGATGTCGGCACCGTCAATCACAAGAGCGCTGGTCAGGCCGAGCTTTTCGAGCTGGGACTTCAGAGCCTTGGTCTTTGCTTCGGCTGCCTTCGCGTCTTCGACCACAACGATGCTGTCAGCTCGCGCCTTCGCGGACAAAGCATGCTTCAGACCGAGGGAGCGAACCTTCTTCGGCAGATCATGGCTATGATCACGAACGCTCGGACCGAACGCCTTGCCACCACCGCGGAACTGCGGGGCTTTCTTGTTGCCGTGACGTGCGCCGCCGGAACCCTTCTGGCGGACGAACTTCTTCGTCGAACCGGAGATATCCGCGCGTTGCAGCGTATTGTGGGTACCCGCCTGGCGCTTGGCCAACTGCCAGCGCACCACTCGGTGGATCAAATCGGTGCGCGGCTCGAGACCAAAGATCTCGTCAGACACCGTGATCGAACCGGCCGCCCCACCTTCGAGGGTCTTGACCTGGAGTTCCATCACTCACTCTCCTTCCCGGCAACCTCAGCCGCTTCGGATGCCTTGAATGCACCCGGAACCGGAACGTTTTCCGGCAGCGCCTTTTTGATCGCGTCGCGAACCAGGATCCAGCCGCCTTTGGCGCCCGGAACCGAACCTTCGACCATGATCAGGCCACGCTCAACATCAGTGCGCACAACCTTCAGGTTCTGCGTGGTCACGCGGGCATCGCCCATATGACCGGCCATTTTCTTGCCCTTGAACACGCGGCCCGGGTCCTGACACTGACCCGTGGAACCGTGTGAGCGGTGCGAGATCGAGTTACCGTGGGATGCACGGCCACCACCGAAGTTGTGGCGTTTCATCGCACCGGCAAATCCCTTGCCGATGGACGTCCCGGTCACATCCACGAACTGGCCTTCGACGTAGTGATCCGCGGTCATTTCCGCGCCAACGTCGATCAAGTTGTCCGCTGTTACGCGGAACTCGGCAACCGTCCGCTTAGGCTCGACCTTTGCAACAGCAAAATGACCGCGCAGCGCCTTGGGCGTATTCTTTACTTTACGGGTACCCGCGCCGAGCTGCAGCGCAGTGTAACCATTCTTTTCGTCAGTCCGGTGGGCTACCACCTGGCAGTTTTCCAGCCGCAAAACCGTGACTGGAACATGCTCGCCCGCATCGTTGTAGATGCGGGTCATGCCCACTTTCTGAGCGATCACTCCAGAACGCATGATGTGTCCCCTTGACCCCGCCTTAGAGCTTGATCTCGACGTCAACACCAGCGGCCAGGTCGAGCTTCATCAGCGCGTCCACCGTCTGGGGCGTCGGATCCACGATGTCGAGAAGACGCTTGTGCGTACGCATCTCGAACTGATCGCGGCTTTTCTTATCGATATGCGGTCCGCGAAGTACCGTGTACTTCTCGATCCGCGTCGGCAGCGGCACGGGACCCCGCACCTGAGCACCGGTCCGCTTGGCCGTATTGACGATCTCCTTGGTGGAGGCGTCGAGAATACGGTGGTCAAACGCCTTCAGGCGGATCCGGATATTCTGACCGTTCATTGTTATTGTTCCCAATAAGACTGCGGGCCTGCCCGCGCTACGTTTTGTTAGACCGGCAGGCCCGGCTGTCGATTATTCGATGATGGATGCGACGACGCCTGCGCCGACGGTACGGCCACCTTCGCGGATCGCGAAGCGCAGGCCTTCTTCCATGGCGATCGGCACGATCAGTTCAACGTCAACGGAGACGTTGTCGCCAGGCATCACCATTTCCGTGCCTTCCGGCAAGGACACCACACCCGTCACATCCGTCGTACGGAAGTAGAACTGCGGGCGGTAGTTGGTGAAGAACGGCGTATGACGGCCACCTTCTTCCTTGGTGAGGATGTAAGCCTCGGCCTTGAACTTCGTGTGCGGGGTAACGGAACCCGGCTTGCAAAGAACCTGGCCGCGCTCAACTTCCTCGCGGCCAACGCCGCGGATCAGCGCACCGATGTTGTCGCCGGCCTCGCCGCTGTCCAGCAGCTTGCGGAACATTTCAACGCCGGTAACCGTCGTCTTGGTGGTGTCCTTGATGCCGACGATCTCGACTTCTTCACCCACCTTGACGATACCGCGCTCAACACGACCGGTCACAACAGTACCGCGGCCGGAGATCGAGAACACGTCTTCGATCGGCATCAGGAACGGCAGATCCTTCGGACGATCGGGCGTCGGGATGTACTCGTCAACCTGCGCCATCAGCTCGCGGATCGCGTCACGGCCGATCGCCGCATCGCGGTTCTCGACAGCTGCAAGCGCTGAACCCTTGACGATCGGAATGTCGTCGCCCGGGTACTCGTAGGAAGCCAGCAATTCGCGGATTTCCATCTCGACAAGCTCAAGAAGCTCTTCATCGTCGACCTGGTCGACCTTGTTCATGAAAACAACAAGAGCCGGAACGCCAACCTGACGGGCAAGCAGGATGTGCTCGCGCGTCTGAGGCATCGGGCCGTCTGCTGAAGACACGACAAGGATCGCGCCGTCCATCTGCGCGGCACCCGTGATCATGTTCTTCACGTAGTCGGCATGGCCCGGGCAGTCAACGTGAGCGTAGTGACGGTTTTCCGTCTCATACTCAACGTGGGCCGTGGAGATCGTGATACCGCGTGCCTTTTCTTCAGGCGCGCCGTCAATCTCGTCATAGGCTTTTGCTTCGGCGCCGCCAGTTTCGGCAAGCGTCATCGTGATTGCAGCAGTCAGCGTCGTCTTGCCATGGTCAACGTGGCCAATCGTGCCAATGTTAACGTGCGGCTTGTTGCGCTCAAATTTTTCCTTCGCCATCGGATTACTCCGTTTCTCTATTTCTTCTTGACGTTAAGAGGTCAGGTTCAGGCGTATTTCGCCTGAACCTCTTCGGCGACAGCCTGCGGCACCTGCTCGTAGTGATCGAACACCATCGAATACTGTGCGCGGCCTTGAGACATGGAACGCAGATTGTTCACGTAACCAAACATGTTGGCCAACGGAACCATTGCGGTGATGACTGTCACGATGCCCCGGTTCTCCGTACCCGCGATCTGGCCGCGGCGGGAGTTCAGGTCACCAATCACGTCACCCATGTAGTCTTCCGGGGTGACAACCTCGACTTTCATGATCGGCTCGAGCAATTTCGGGCCAGCCTTCTGAATGGCTTCGCGGAAGCCGGCACGACCGGCAATCTCGAAGGCCAGAACAGAAGAGTCGACATCGTGGTATGCACCGTCGGTCAAAGTTGCCTTGATGTCGAGCATCGGGAAACCAGCCAACGGTCCAGAGGACATGACGCTCTCGATACCTTTGGTAACGCCCGGAATGTATTCTTTCGGAACATTACCGCCGACAACCTTGCTGTCGAAGACATAACCTTCGTTCGGCTCTGCCGGCTCGATGGTGAGTTTGATACGAGCAAACTGACCGGAACCACCGGACTGCTTCTTGTGGGTGTAGTCCACATCGGCAACCTTGGTGATTGTTTCGCGATAAGCAACCTGAGGTGCACCGATATTCGCTTCGACCTTGAATTCACGCTTCATGCGATCGACGATGATATCAAGGTGCAACTCGCCCATTCCGGCGATGATAGTCTGACCGGATTCCTCGTCCGTTTTCACGCGGAAGGACGGATCCTCGGCTGCCAGGCGGTTCAGGGCAAGGCCCATCTTTTCCTGGTCACCCTTGGTTTTCGGCTCGACCGCGATCTCGATGACCGGCTCGGGGAATTCCATGCGCTCCAGGATCACCGGCTTAAGCGGATCACACAGCGTGTCGCCTGTCGTCGTGTCCTTCAGACCCGCAATAGCAACGATGTCGCCTGCATATGCAACATCAATGTCCTCGCGGGAGTTGGAGTGCATCTGCATCATGCGGCCAACGCGTTCACGCTTGTCTTTCACCGTGTTGAGAAGGGACGTACCCTTGTTCAGAACACCGGAATAGATGCGGCAGAACGTCAGCGAGCCGACGAACGGGTCGTTTGCAATCTTGAACGCCAGCAGGCCAAGCGGCTCTTCGTCCGAGGACTTCCGCTCGACTTCAGCTTCGGTCTTCGGGTCAATGCCCTTGATCGCCGGCACTTCGACCGGGTTCGGCAGGAAGTCGACAACTGCGTCCAGCAGTGGCTGCACACCTTTGTTCTTGAATGCGGAACCACAGAAGATCGGAACGAATTCGCCGCTGATGGTACCCTTGCGGATCAGCTCTTTCAGCTTTTCCATGGTCGGCTCTTCACCTTCCAGGTAAGCTTCCATTGCCTCTTCGTCCACTTCGACGGCAGTCTCGATCATAGCGTCGCGCAACTCTTGCGCACGATCGGCAAGATCGGCAGGAATGTCGACTTCATCCCAGGCAGCACCAAGATTTTCAGCCTGCCAGATCAGAGCCTTCATTTTAAGAAGGTCGACACAGCCGGCAAATTCGCTCTCGGCGCCAACCGGCAGCTGCATGACCAGCGGAGTCGCGCCAAGGCGTTCCTTGATCATGGTGACACAGCGATCGAAATCGGCGCCCAGCTTGTCCATCTTGTTGACGAAGATCATCCGCGGGACGTTGTACTTGTCGGCCTGACGCCAGACAGTTTCGGTCTGCGGCTCGACACCGGCGTTAGCGTCCAGAAGAGCAACGGCGCCGTCGAGAACACGGAGCGAACGCTCAACTTCAATGGTGAAGTCAACGTGGCCCGGGGTGTCGATGATGTTCAGCCGCTTGTCGTTCCAGAAAGCGGTGGTTGCAGCAGAGGTGATCGTGATGCCACGCTCCTGCTCCTGCTCCATCCAGTCCATGGTGGCGGCACCATCATGAACTTCGCCGATCTTGTGGCTCTTGCCAGTGTAGTAGAGGATCCGCTCGGTCGTAGTGGTCTTGCCAGCATCGATGTGAGCCATGATGCCGAAGTTACGGTAGTCCTCGATATTATGCGTGCGCGACATAGCGTCAGCCCTTCGAAGTAACTTTTACCAGCGGTAGTGCGAGAACGCGCGGTTGGCGTCTGCCATCCGGTGCGTATCTTCACGCTTCTTAACTGCGGTACCACGGTTGTTTGCAGCATCGAGCAGCTCGCCGGACAGGCGGTCAACCATTGTGGTTTCGTTGCGGTTGCGCGCGGCGGTAATCAACCAGCGGATCGCAAGAGCCTGACGGCGCTCGTTGCGGACCTCGACCGGGACCTGGTAGGTCGCACCACCAACACGGCGGGAGCGGACTTCCACTTGCGGCATGACATTTTCAAGAGCCGCATGGAAAACCTCGATCGGGTTCTCGCGGGTCTTGTTCTCGACCACGTCGAAAGCACCGTATACGATGCGCTCGGCGGTGGATTTCTTGCCGTCATACATGATGGAGTTCATGAATTTGGTGACGACCATATCCCCGAATTTCGGATCCGGGTTGATTTCGCGTTTTTCTGCGCGGTGACGACGGGACATCTAATGTGCTCCTTACTTCGGCCGCTTGGCGCCGTATTTCGAACGGCGCTGCTTACGATCCTTGACGCCCTGGGTATCGAGCACACCACGGATGATGTGGTAGCGAACACCCGGCAAATCCTTCACGCGGCCGCCACGGATCATCACCACCGAGTGTTCCTGAAGGTTGTGACCTTCACCCGGGATGTAGCCGATGACTTCGAAGCCGTTGGTCAGGCGGATCTTGGCCACCTTACGCAGAGCCGAGTTCGGCTTCCTCGGCGTCGTCGTGTAAACGCGGGTGCAAACACCACGCTTCTGAGGGCAGGCCTCCATGGCCGGCACCTTGTTCCGCTTCGGCGGATCTTTCCGCGGCTTGCGGATCAACTGGTTGATGGTCGGCATTCTTTGCCCTTTACCTTGTCCATCCAAAAATTCGTATGCAACTGCAGTCCCTCGCCGATCTTGCAAGCCAACAAACATGCAAAATCGCGCCCGCACGCTCTGAGAGCGGCCGGCGCTGCGAAAAACCAGAGGACCACGAGTAAACCCGCGGTCATGCAATCGACGCGTATTCGCCTATCTATACCCGGCAGCGTTTAAAAGGATTGGGTCCTGCGCCTTGGATCAGCGCTGGACGGTTCACTCTTACCGCCTGCCCTTGGGATGCGCGGAACCTACTCATATGCACCCCATGCGTCAAGTGCTTTGTCGAAAAAACCATGATTGCATTGACGATCATCCATCAGTTCAAATTATTGCAATGAATTCAATGGCCTGACATAACTTTGCGCACTATTAGAAGTGGATTCGAGTAATTTTATTTCGTAGCCGAATTCCGCGGGCGATCAAAGCAAGGAATCGTTCGGGTATTCCTTGTTAAATGTCTGTAAGATTCACAGGTGAAACCGGCTATAGCTCAATGCCGACTCACCACAGGTCCCGGCCAACGTCGACGATCAATCTCGCGCCTCACATTTCCGGCTCGAATATGCTGCTTCGGACGCCTCGCGGAACACTTGCCGCACAACAGCCCGGGAGTGCGTCATCCGTAACGAACCCGGTCAGCCTTCACCGGAAAAAGTCACGATTGCCACATTGCCCGCGAGCGCATCCTGGTAGGCCCCTTCGTAAAGCGGATCGTCGGGTTCCCCGTCCATGACCCCGATCTGGTCAAGCTCGGCTTCGGCAAAACCCTGGCCCTGCAGGGCTTCAAGGGTTCTGCGAACCGCATCATCATCGTCCGGCGCTCTCAGAAGCGCATGAATCGTCACGGCATCATCCGGGAGCGCTTCTTCGTTTTCCCAGACCCGGCCAATGACGATATAGACCACCGGTTCCATTTCGACTTCGTTGTCGTTCATCATATTGCTCTCAACTCTGGTCCATACAGAAAGGCCGCCCGGAGGCGGCCTTTCGATCAGTTTTGCCAGTGCCGATTACTCGGCTGCACCCGTCATATCTTCCAGCAGGCCTTCAGCCGCGCTTTCTGAAGATTGCTGGCGCTGCGCTTCCTGGATCAGGTCATCGCGATGCGAGGCAATCTTGCGGATACGTTTCATGACCCCGCCGGTACCGGCCGGAATCAAACGGCCGACAATGACGTTTTCCTTCAGGCCGACAAGCGGATCGGTCTTACCGTTGACCGCTGCATCGGTAAGGACACGGGTCGTTTCCTGGAACGACGCGGCAGAGAAGAACGACCGGGTCTGCAGAGATGCCTTGGTAATACCCAGCAGAACGGGAACACCTTTCGCGGGATCCCGGGCATTGTCGATGGCCTTCTCGTTCGCTTCCTCGAAGTCGATCTTGTCGATCTGTTCGCCCGAAAAGAACTCGGTATCGCCCGGATCGGTGATTTCGACTTTCTGCAGCATCTGGCGGACAATCACTTCGATGTGCTTGTCGTTGATGGTCACACCCTGCAGACGATAGACTTCCTGGATCTCATTGACGAGATAGGCAGCAAGTGCCTCCACGCCCTTGACGGCCAGAATGTCATGCGGTGCCGGGTTGCCGTCGAGAATGTACTCACCTTTTTCAATGGCATCGCCTTCCTGAAGGTGGAAGTGCTTGCCCTTCGGGATGAGATATTCGACGGGTTCCGCGCCATCCTCTGCCGGATCGATGATGATGCGACGCTTGTTCTTGTAGTCGCGGCCGAAACGGATCGTACCATCGATTTCAGCGATGATAGCATGATCCTTCGGACGGCGAGCTTCGAACAGTTCCGCAACTCGCGGCAGACCACCGGTGATGTCCTTGGTCTTGGCACTCTCCAGGGGAATACGCGCCAGGACGTCACCAGCTTTGACTGTGGAGCCAGGCTGAACGGACAGGATCGCATCCACGGACAGTATCAAGCGAGCATCGGATCCGCGCGAGTTTTTCGAAATCGTACCCTTGTCGTCCTTGATCACGATGGCAGGCTTGAGATCCGCACCACGCTGCGACGACCGCCAGTCAATGACGATACGCTTGGTGATACCGGTCGCCTCATCGGCAGTTTCCTGGACAGAAGCTCCGTCAACCAGATCTTCGAAGTCAACCACGCCGTCAACTTCCGCAAGCATCGGACGGGTGTAGGGATCCCATTCGGCAATCCGCTGACCGCGCTTGACCGCGTCACCTTCGTCGACATGCAGCTTGGAACCGTATGCGACACGGTGAACTGCACGCTCGTTTCCGTCGCTGTCGATAACAACGATGGACATGTTGCGTACCATGGCAATGAGGTTGCCGTCGGAGTCGCGTTGCACCGACCGGTTCCGGATCTTGACCGTTCCGTCAACATTGGACTCGATGAAGGAGCTGTCGACGACCTGCGCCGTTCCGCCGATATGGAACGTACGCATGGTCAGCTGGGTGCCCGGTTCACCGATGGACTGCGCGGCGATGACGCCAACAGCTTCACCGAGGTTGACCGGCGTGCCACGTGCGAGGTCACGACCATAACAGGTTGCACAGACGCCGGTTTCGGTTTCACAAGTGAGAACCGAACGGATCTTGATCTGCTGGACCTTGGCTCCTTCGATCGCCTCGACATCCTTCTCGTCGATGAGCGTACCCCTGGGCACGATCACTTCGCCGGTCAGGTGGTTGACGACGTCCTCTGCCGTCGTACGGCCGAGAACGCGCATGCCGAGAGAGGCAATGACATTACCGGCATCGACGATCGGTGCAACGGTGATGCCGCGTTCAGAGCCACAATCCGGCTCCAGGATAATTGAGTCCTGAGCAACGTCCACAAGACGACGAGTGAGATAACCCGAGTTCGCCGTTTTCAAGGCAGTGTCGGCCAGACCCTTGCGGGCACCGTGGGTGGAGTTGAAGTACTCCAGAACCGACAGGCCTTCCTTGAAGTTCGAGATAATCGGGTTTTCGATGATCGAACCGTCCGGCTTGGCCATCAGGCCGCGCATGCCGGCGAGCTGCTTCATCTGCTGTGGCGAACCACGCGCACCGGAGTGAGACATCATGTAGACCGAGTTCATCGGCTTTTGACGTCCTGTCTCGTCGTCGATCTGAACCGCCTTGATGCGCGCCATCATTTCATCAGCGATCTTGTCGGTGCATTTCGCCCAGGCATCGACAACCTTGTTGTACTTTTCGCCCTGGGTGATCAGACCGTCATTGTATTGCTGCTCGTATTCGGTCGCGAGCGACGAGGTTTCGGCAACCAGGTTCTGTTTGGTATCAGGAATGACCATGTCGTCCATGCCAAACGAAATGCCGGCATTACAGGCATTCTTGAAGCCGAGTTCCATGATCCGGTCGCAGAAAATAACCGTCTCCTTCTGACCGCAGGCACGGTAAACCGTGTCGATCATCTTGGAGATTTCCTTCTTGGTCATCAGCCTGTTGCAAGCTTCGAACGGGACTTCGAAGTGCTTGGGCAACAACTCGGCGATCAACATCCGACCAGGTGTCGTCTCGATGATCTCGGAAGTCGGGTTGCCGTCCGCATCAATGGACTTGTAACGACCCTTGATCTTGGTGTGCAGCGTGATGACCTTGTTGGCCAGCGCATGATGGATTTCACCGATATCACCGAAGGCCATGCCTTCGCCCGGTTCTCCCTCTGCCATGATGGAGAGGTAGTAAAGACCGAGAACAATATCCTGCGACGGAACAATGATCGGACCACCGTTGGCCGGGTGCAGAATGTTGTTGGTGGACATCATCAGCGTACGCGCTTCAAGCTGGGCTTCCAGCGAAAGCGGCACGTGAACAGCCATCTGGTCACCGTCAAAGTCTGCATTGAACGCCGAACAGACGAGCGGATGCAGCTGGATGGCCTTGCCTTCGATCAGGGTCGGCTCAAACGCCTGGATACCGAGACGGTGAAGCGTCGGCGCACGGTTCAAAAGAACCGGGTGCTCGCGGATCACCTCGTCGAGAATATCCCAGACTTCCGGACGTTCCTTCTCCACAAGCTTCTTCGCCTGCTTGACAGTCGAAGAGAAACCCTTGGCGTCGAGGCGCGAATAGATGAAGGGCTTGAACAGTTCAAGCGCCATCTTCTTCGGCAACCCGCACTGATGAAGCTTCAGCTCCGGGCCAACCGTGATCACCGAACGGCCGGAATAGTCGACGCGTTTGCCGAGAAGGTTCTGCCGGAAACGGCCTTGCTTGCCTTTCAGCATGTCGGACAACGACTTCAACGGACGCTTGTTGGCACCGGTGATGACGCGGCCGCGGCGACCGTTGTCGAACAGCGCGTCCACAGATTCCTGAAGCATACGCTTCTCGTTCCGGATAATGATGTCCGGAGCGCGCAATTCCATCAGGCGGCGCAAACGGTTGTTCCGGTTGATCACGCGACGGTAGAGATCGTTGAGGTCGGACGTCGCGAAACGTCCACCGTCGAGCGGCACCAGCGGACGCAGATCCGGCGGAATGACCGGGACAACCGTCATGATCATCCACTCCGGACGATTGCCGGATTCCATGAATGCCTCGATGACCTTCAAGCGCTTTGCCAGTTTTTTCGGCTTCAGCTCAGTGGTTGCTTCGGCGATTTCCTGGCGCAGCTTTTCGCTTTCGCGCTCGAGATCCATGCTCATCAGGATTTCGCGGATCGCTTCGGCACCGATCATCGCCGTGAAGGCGTCTTCACCGTAGTCGTCCTGAGCGGCGACATAGTCTTCTTCGGAAAGAAGCTGATGCTGCTTGAGCGGGGTCAGACCCGGCTCGAGAACCACATAGTTCTCGAAATAAAGAACGCGTTCCAGATCCTTCAGTGTCATGTCAAGCAACAGACCGATGCGGCTCGGCAAGGACTTCAGGAACCAGATATGCGCAACCGGAGCGGCCAGTTCAATGTGGCCCATACGCTCGCGGCGAACTCTGGACAAGGTGACTTCAACGCCACACTTCTCGCAGATAACGCCTTTGTATTTCATGCGCTTGTACTTGCCGCAAAGGCACTCATAGTCCTTGATCGGGCCGAAGATACGTGCGCAGAACAGGCCGTCGCGTTCAGGCTTGAACGTACGGTAGTTGATGGTCTCCGGCTTTTTGATTTCGCCGAAAGACCAGGACAAGATCTTTTCCGGGCTCGCAAGCGAAATCCGGATATTGTCGAAGGTCTGTGCGGGAGCCTGTTGATTAAACAGGTTCATGACCTCATGATTCATGATCCATCTCCTTCGATGCGCGGCCGGAGAGCGGGTCCAAACACCCCTCTCCGTGACCGGCATGCCAAGTCATATTGCGTCCGTTGACGGGATTATTCTGCGGCATCCGCAGTTTCTTCCTCGCCAATCGCGGGTACATCAGTCCGTTGCAGTTCAACATTGAGACCCAGGGACCGCATTTCCTTCACAAGCACGTTGAAGCTTTCCGGTATGCCCGCCTCGAAGGTGTCGTCGCCGCGAACGATGGCCTCGTAGACCTTCGTACGGCCGGCCACGTCGTCCGACTTGACTGTGAGCATTTCCTGCAGCGTATAGGCTGCACCGTATGCCTCGAGCGCCCAGACCTCCATTTCCCCGAAACGCTGGCCACCGAACTGCGCCTTACCACCAAGCGGCTGCTGGGTAACGAGCGAGTACGGGCCGATCGAACGGGCATGGATCTTGTCGTCGACAAGGTGGTGGAGCTTCAGCATATAGATGTAGCCCACGGTCACCTTGCGGTCGAACTCTTCACCGGTTCGTCCATCAAACAGCACGGACTGACCGCTCGAGTCGTAACCGGCGATGTTCAGTGCTTCGACAACATCGGGTTCACGCGCGCCATCAAAGACCGGCGTCGCGATGGAAACACCCTTCTTCAGCTGGTCGGCCAGGCGAACGATGCTCTCGTCATCGTATTCCTGGACGTTGTCGCCCTTCATGTTGTCGCCGTAGATCTCGACGATCTTTCCGCGAAGCTCGTCAAGCTGACCGGAGCGCTTGTACTCTTCGTACATTTCGCCAATCCGGTTGCCCATGCCGCGGCAGGCCCAGCCCAGGTGAGTTTCCAGGATCTGGCCGACGTTCATGCGGGACGGCACGCCGAGCGGGTTCAACACGATATCGACATGCGTACCGTCTTCCAGGAACGGCATGTCCTCGCACGGGTTGATCTTGGAAACCACGCCCTTGTTGCCGTGACGGCCGGCCATCTTGTCACCCGGCTGAAGCTTGCGTTTCACGGCAACAAAGACCTTGACCATTTTCATGACGCCAGGAGGCAGTTCATCACCGCGCTGCAGTTTTTCGACCTTGTCGATGAACCGCTGCTCGAGACGCTTGCGGCTGTCGTCGTACTGACCGCGCAAGGCTTCGATTTCGGACATGAACTTTTCGTCGTCGGTGGCGAACTGCCACCACTGCGACCGCGGGAAGTCGTTGAGAACATCCCCGGTCAGAACAGCGTCCTTGCCAAAGCCCTTGGGACCGGCAACAGCAGTCTTGTCCATCAGCATTTCTGCGAGACGGCCATAGACGTTGCGGTCGAGGATTGCCTGCTCGTCGTCACGGTCCTTTGCGAGACGTTCGATTTCCTCGCGCTCGATCGCCATCGCCCGTTCGTCTTTTTCGACGCCATGGCGATTGAAGACACGCACTTCGACCACAGTACCGGAAACCCCTGGCGGCAGGCGCAGGGACGTGTCGCGCACGTCGGAGGCCTTCTCGCCGAAGATGGCTCGCAGAAGTTTTTCTTCCGGAGTCATCGGGCTCTCGCCCTTCGGCGTGATCTTGCCGACGAGAATGTCACCCGGGTTGAGTTCCGCACCGATATAGACGATGCCGGCCTCGTCGAGATTCTTCAGCGCTTCTTCTGAAACGTTGGGAATGTCGCGGGTGATCTCTTCCGGACCAAGCTTGGTATCACGCGCCATCACCTCGAATTCCTCAAGGTGGATGGAAGTGAAGACGTCGTCGGAAACGATCCGCTCGGAAAGAAGGATGGAATCCTCGAAGTTGTAACCGTTCCACGGCATGAACGCGACAAGCACGTTCCGGCCGAGAGCCAGGTCGCCCAGATCCGTGGACGGGCCGTCAGCAATGATGTCGCCCTTGTGCACCCGATCACCGACACGCACCAGCGGACGCTGGTTGATGCAGGTGTTCTGGTTGGAGCGCTGGAACTTTTGCAGCCTGTAGATATCGACACCGGACTTGCCGGGATCGAGATCTTCCGTCGCACGAATAACGATACGTGTCGCGTCTACCTGATCGACCACACCCGCGCGGCGTGCACCGATCGCGGCACCGGAATCGCGCGCGACAACCGGTTCCATACCCGTGCCGACAAATGGCGCTTCGGCGCTCACAAGAGGCACCGCCTGACGCTGCATGTTCGAACCCATGAGCGCACGATTGGCGTCATCGTTTTCCAGGAACGGAATGAGCGCTGCCGCAACAGAAACAAGCTGTTTCGGCGAAACGTCCATCAGGTCGACCTTGTCGGACGGAACCATCATGTTCTCACCTGCATGACGGCAGGTGATAAGTTCGGTTGTGAACCGGCCTTCCGCGTCATATTCCGCATTGGACTGCGCCACATAGTGCTTGGCTTCTTCCATTGCGGAAAGATAGATGACTTCGTTGGTTACGACCCCATCATCGACCTTGCGGTACGGGCTTTCAATGAAGCCGTACTTGTTCACGCGGGCAAAAGTCGCCAGCGAATTGATCAGACCGATATTCGGACCTTCCGGGGTCTCGATCGGGCAGATGCGGCCGTAGTGTGTCGGGTGAACGTCGCGAACCTCGAAGCCTGCACGTTCTCGTGTCAGACCACCCGGACCGAGCGCCGACAGGCGACGCTTGTGGGTGACTTCAGACAACGGGTTGGTCTGGTCCATGAACTGCGACAGCTGCGAAGACCCGAAGAATTCGCGAACGGCAGCAGCGGCCGGTTTCGCATTGATCAGATCCTGCGGCATGACCGTGTCGATTTCCACGGAACTCATGCGTTCCTTGATCGCGCGTTCCATGCGAAGCAGGCCGACGCGATACTGGTTTTCCATCAGTTCGCCGACCGACCGCACACGACGGTTGCCAAGGTTGTCGATGTCATCGATGTCGCCTTTGCCGTCACGCAGCTGGAGCAGGACACGGATGACTTCAAGGATGTCTTCCTTGCGCAGTGTGCGGACCGTGTCTTCACACTGCAGGTCAAGACGCATGTTCATCTTCACGCGGCCAACGGCAGACAGGTCATACCGTTCGTCGTCAAAAAACAGCGACTGGAACATCGCTTCCGCAGTGTCGATGGTTGGCGGCTCTCCCGGACGCATGACACGGTAGATGTCAAAGAGCGCATCCTCACGGGACTCGTTCTTGTCGACCGCAAGCGTGTTTCGGATATAGGCACCGGTGTTGACGTGGTCGATATCGAGCATCGTCAATTCGTGATAACCGCGCTCAACAAGTTCTTCCAGCAGCTTGCCGGTGATCTCGTCGCCCGCTTCCGCGTAGATCTCGCCCGACTGCGCGTCAACGATATCTTCTGCAAGATATTGACCGTGCAGGTCTTCGTCCGTGACCTTCAGGGCCGTAATGCCCTTTTCACTCAGCTGACGGATCGTGCGTGCCGTAATCTTGCGGCCACCTTCAACGACGACTTCACCGCTATCCGCATCAATCAGATCATAGGAGGCCTTGGTTCCCTTCAGGCGAGCACCGTCGAACGGCATGCGCCAGGAACCATCCTTCTGACGCGTGTAGTCGATACGCTTGTAGAAGGTGTTCAGGATTTCCTCGCCGTCGAGGCCAAGAGCCATCAGCAGCGACGTTACCGGGATCTTCCGACGGCGGTCGATCCGCGCGTGGACAATGTCCTTGGCGTCGAATTCGATATCCAGCCATGACCCGCGATAGGGGATCACGCGGGCGGCGAACAGAAGCTTGCCGGAGGAATGGGTCTTGCCTTTGTCGTGGTCGAAGAAAACACCCGGGGAACGGTGCATCTGGGAAACGATCACGCGCTCTGTGCCATTGACGATAAAGGTGCCGTTGTCTGTCATGAACGGCATGTCGCCCATGTAGACATCCTGTTCCTTGATGTCCTTGACGGACTTGGCCCCTGTGTCTTCATCGACATCAAAGACGATGAGACGCAAGGTTACCTTCAGCGGTGCGGCGAACGTCATGTCACGCTGGCGGCACTCGTCCACGTCGTATTTGGGAGCTTCGAATTCGTAGGATACAAACTCAAGTAGGGAAGTTCCGGCAAAATCGGAAATGGGAAACACGGACTGGAAGACCGCTTCAAGGCCTTCTATCTTGCGGCCGCCGCCCTGCATCTCATCGACCTGAAGAAATTGGTCGTAGGATGCTTTTTGTACCTCGATGAGATTGGGCATTGCCGCGACATCGCGGATCGATCCGAAATATTTACGGACCTTTTTGCGACCGTTGAACGTTTGGGTCATTGTCGCTCCTCGTATCGGCCGGGTAACGGCTTCCCGAAACGCCCCTTATCCAATCGGGCCGCCCTGCCCGGGCGCTTCGGAAAACCGTCCCCCAAGATCAACCTGCTGCAACCAAAGCGGAAAGGTTGACCGGGTTATGGGGCCCAGGACACCTGACTCGCACGCCGCGAATCAACTTGCCCTAGTGGTGCATTTGCCCCGGAAACGGGTTGGACCCGCCGGGGCAACAAACGGTCCCGGTAAACGGGACCGTTCAAAAGGCAAAAGCCTTTGTTACTTAAGCTCTACAGAAGCGCCTGCTTCTTCCAGCTTCTTCTTCAGCTCTTCAGACTCGTCCTTGGCAACGCCTTCCTTGACAGCCTTCGGAGCGGACTCAACGAGTTCCTTAGCTTCCTTCAGGCCAAGACCGGTAATTGCGCGGACTTCCTTGATGACGTTGATTTTCTTGTCACCAGCAGATGTCAGAACAACGTCAAATTCGGTTTTCTCTTCGGCAGCAGCAGCTTCACCGCCACCACCGGCAGCGGCAGCAACTGCAACCGGAGCTGCGGCAGAAACGCCCCACTTTTCTTCCAGAAGCTTGCTGAGTTCAGCAGCTTCCATGACGGTCAGTGCGGACAGTTCTTCTACGAGCTTTTCAAGATCAGCCATTTTCTCAGTACCTTAAATTCGAACCAGTGTTGGTTTCGTTAGACAGTGTGTTTGGACGCCTTATGCGGCTTCGTCCTTGTCGGCATACGCGCCGAAGACGCGGGCGAGCTGCCCGGCCGGTGCGTTGACTACCTGAGCAATCCGGGAAGCCGGGGTCTGGATCATGCCAACCAGTTTCGCGCGCAGCTCATCGAGCGACGGCATGGTTGCCAGAGACTTGACGCCTTCCGGGTTCAGATTGGTCGTTCCAAGAGCACCGCCAAGTATTTCCAACTTGTTGTTGGCTTTGGCGAAATCGACAGCTGCTTTCGGTGCTGCTACCGGATCGTCTGAATAGACGAGTACGGTAGGGCCCTGAAACAGGTCGGAGAGATGCTCAAGGTCGGTGCCTTCAAGGGCGAGTTTCACAAGGCGGTTTTTTGCGACTTTTACAGAACCGCCGGCTTCACGCACAGATGCCCGCAATGCAGTCATCTGAGCAACCGAAAGACCTGCATAGTGCGCGACAACAACGACGCCGGTGTCAGCCAGCTCGGCGTTGAGAGCCGTCACGAACTCGTGCTTTTCCGCTCTTTCCACTTGCCTTCTCCATTTGGTGGCGTTGCCGCCACCGGTTACCTTTGCCGCACTCGGTCGGTTCCGAACCCGGAACCGCCTCAAGGGCGACGCTCAGGGTCCTGTCCCCTCACCTTCACGCAGAACGCGCGGCAAGGTCTGGTTCGAACCTGGTTTTCCGCAATCGCGGAGAATTCGGTTCTCACCCATCTATGCAGGCCGTTTGCTTAAGCCGGTCTCCCGGCACCTGCAGTCTCGGACAGGGCAACCCGGCAGCGAACCGCCGGGTCTATTCGGCCTTTCGGCCGAAATCTTTACTCAACCCGGTCTCCCGGATTATTCGCCTGAAATGCTGGCGAGATCGATTTTCACGCCCGGGCCCATCGTGGAGGACACGGCAATACGCTTCATGTAGGAACCCTTGGCACCGGACGGCTTGGCCTTTTGAACCGCGTCAACCAGAGCCTTTACGTTCTGGGAGATCGCTTCTTCGCTAAAGGACACCTTGCCGACACCGGCATGAACGATACCGGCCTTTTCAACACGGAATTGCACCGCACCGCCCTTGGCATCATTGACAGCAGCCTTGACGTCCGGGGTCACGGTTCCGACCTTCGGGTTCGGCATCAGGCCACGCGGGCCGAGCACCTTGCCAAGACGGCCAACCAGCGGCATCATGTCAGGCGTTGCGATGCAGCGATCAAAATCGATCTTGCCGCCCTGCACTTCCTGAACCAGCTCTTCGGCACCGACAACGTCTGCACCGGCTGCTTTCGCTTCGTCAGCCTTGTCACCGCGAGCAAAAACCGCAACGCGAACATTCTTGCCTGTTCCGTTCGGCAGAACACATACGCCGCGGACCATCTGGTCTGCGTGGCGCGGATCCACACCGAGATTGATCGCAACTTCGACGGTTTCGTCGAACTTGGTCTTGGAACGCCCCTTCACAAGGCCGATCGCCTCGTCAAGAGAATAAAGCTTGTTCCGGTCAAGGCCTTCACGAGCGGCCGAGATACGTTTTCCAACCTTCGCCATGATCTTACTCCGTTACCTCAAAGCCCATGGAGCGGGCGGAGCCTTCAACCATCAGCATTGCTGCGTCGACGTCATTGGCGTTCAGGTCCTTCATCTTGGCTTCGGCGATTTCTTTCACCTGCGCCCTGGTCACGGAACCCACGGTGCCGCGACCCGGTGTTCCGGAACCCTTCGGCAGCTTGGCAGCCTTCTTCAGGAAGAAGCTGACCGGAGCCGTCTTCACTTCGAAAGTGAAGGACTTGTCCGAGTAGTACGTGATCACGGTCGGGCACGGAGCACCCTTTTCAACATCCTGGGTCTGCGCGTTGAACGCCTTGCAGAATTCCATGATGTTCAGACCACGCTGACCAAGCGCCGGACCAATGGGCGGCGACGGAGTAGCGGAGCCTGCCGGCACCTGAAGCTTCAGGAAACCTTGAACTTTTTTCGCCATCATTCTCTCCAATCATTCGCAGCTGAACGGCGATCCAGCTGGTTGGGAGTGGTGGTCCGGCCCCTCGTCGACATCCGGCGAAGAATGTCAGAACCTTCCACCGATTTTTCCCGGAAACCGGTCACAGGGACCTGATACCGGGCACTCAAACCGCCCCTCGGGGCGGCAAACGGTCAGAGCTTGTCGACCTGACCGAATTCCAGTTCCACCGGCGTTGCTCTTCCGAAGATGGAAACCGCCACCTTGAGGCGCGCCCGCTCGTCGTCAACTTCCTCGACAAGACCGGAGAACGAAGCAAACGGCCCATCGGACACGCGCACCTGCTCGCCAACCTCGAAGCTGACCGACGGCTTCGGCCTGTCAACGCCTTCCTGCACCTGATTTATGATGCGAAGCGCTTCTTTTTCCGGAATTGGCATCGGCTTCTGGTCCGCACCGAGGAACCCGGTAACCTTCGGCGTATCCTTGATCAGGTGGAACGCCTCGTTGGTCATGTCCATTTTCACCAGGACGTAGCCGGGAAAAAACTTGCGCTCGGCATCGACCTTGCGGCCGCGGCGCACTTCGACAACCTTTTCCATGGGAACGAGGATTTCCTCAAACAGATCGGTCAACCCTTTCTGCTCGGCCTTCTCGCGGATGGAATCGGCGACCTTTTTCTCAAAATTGGAATAGGCATGCACAATATACCAGCGCTTGGCCATGGTTCTCAGTTCCGTTTCTTGTTCTTGTCTACAAACCGGACGGTCGGTCTTACTCAGCCGCCGACACCCAGAAGAGCACCTATCCCCCAGCTCATCAGCTGATCGGCCAGGAGAAAGAAAATCGAAGCGATCAGCACCATGACGAACACCATGGCGGTGGTCACGGCTGTTTCCTTGCGCGTCGGCCACGTCACCTTGGACGTTTCAGCGCGTACTTCCTGGATAAATTTAAAGGGATTGGTCTTCGCCATTCCGGTTCCGGTCTGTTAAATACGAGTGGGCGCGCGAAAAATCTTCGCGCGCCTCACTCGAGGAAACTGTTTAAGCCCTCGAGGCAGATTAATCAAGAGCAAATTGGCAGGGGCAGCAGGGTTCGAACCCGCGACCTACGGTTTTGGAGACCGTCGCTCTACCAGCTGAGCTATACCCCTTCAGAGGATCGCCGACGCGACCTTGCTCCTGATACCCTCTGAAGCCACGCATCGCAAGACTTAAGAGGGCCGGTTGCCGGGTACAAGACCCGGCAACCGAATTCATCTTATTCGATGATGGATGCGACGACGCCTGCGCCGACCGTACGGCCACCTTCGCGGATCGCGAAGCGCAGGCCTTCTTCCATGGCGATCGGCACGATCAGCTCAACGTCAACGGAGACGTTGTCGCCAGGCATCACCATTTCCGTGCCTTCCGGCAAGGACACCACACCCGTCACATCCGTCGTACGGAAGTAGAACTGCGGGCGGTAGTTGGTGAAGAACGGCGTATGACGGCCACCTTCTTCCTTGGTGAGGATGTAAGCCTCGGCCTTGAACTTCGTGTGCGGGGTAACGGAACCCGGCTTGCAAAGAACCTGGCCGCGCTCAACTTCCTCGCGGCCAACGCCGCGGATCAGCGCACCGATGTTGTCGCCGGCTTCGCCGCTGTCCAGCAGCTTGCGGAACATTTCAACGCCGGTAACCGTCGTCTTGGTGGTGTCCTTGATGCCGACGATCTCGACTTCTTCACCCACCTTGACGATACCGCGCTCAACACGACCGGTCACAACAGTACCGCGGCCGGAGATCGAGAACACGTCTTCGATCGGCATCAGGAACGGCAGATCCTTCGGACGATCGGGCGTCGGGATGTACTCGTCGACCTGCGCCATCAGCTCGCGGATCGCGTCACGGCCGATCGCCGCATCGCGGTTCTCGACAGCTGCAAGCGCTGAACCCTTGACGATCGGAATGTCGTCGCCCGGGTACTCGTAGGAAGCCAGCAATTCGCGGATTTCCATCTCGACAAGCTCAAGAAGCTCTTCGTCGTCGACCTGGTCGACCTTGTTCATGAAAACAACAAGAGCCGGAACGCCAACCTGACGGGCAAGCAGGATGTGCTCGCGCGTCTGAGGCATCGGGCCGTCTGCTGAAGACACGACCAGGATCGCGCCGTCCATCTGCGCGGCACCCGTGATCATGTTCTTCACGTAGTCGGCATGGCCCGGGCAGTCAACGTGAGCGTAGTGACGGTTTTCCGTCTCATACTCAACGTGGGCCGTGGAGATCGTGATACCGCGTGCCTTTTCTTCAGGCGCGCCGTCAATCTCGTCATAGGCTTTTGCTTCGGCGCCGCCAGTTTCGGCAAGCGTCATCGTGATTGCAGCAGTCAGCGTCGTCTTGCCATGGTCAACGTGGCCAATCGTGCCAATGTTAACGTGCGGCTTGTTGCGCTCAAATTTTTCCTTCGCCATCGGCGTCGCTCTCTGTCCAATACTCGGTTCGGTCGATACAGGCTCGAGGCGGGACGCACCCCGACGCCTTGGACAGATCCGCGAGCGACGTTTTGCTTCCCGTAGAACTATGTTCAGGATTTCCGGGCGAAAGAGCCTTCCGTTCCGGATATTCCGGTATGCCCCTTGATGGAGCGGGTGAAGGGAATCGAACCCTCGTCGTCAGCTTGGAAGGCTGCTGCTCTACCATTGAGCTACACCCGCACAACGAGAGAATCAGGAACGATGGTGGAGGAGGTTGGATTCGAACCAACGTAGGCATAGCCAACGGATTTACAGTCCGTCCCCTTTAGCCACTCGGGCACTCCTCCATCTCGTCCTGCTTCACGCCGAAGCGATCAGGATGGCTTACCGGAAAGCCCATCCAAAAGGGGCGAGCAATCCCGTGGCGCGTGTTATGCAGATGCCAACCTGCCCTGTCAACGCCGATTTTGCAAAGAAATGAACAAAATCAACGAGACGCCCGAAACTGCCGCTTCGTGCGCTTAAGATTACCCCGGCTACCAGTTTCTCAAGATTGTCGACATGCGCGCTGATTGTCACGGAATCCCGGCATTTTTCCCGCGTTTTGCAAGTTTTTTCTGCGCGAACCTGTGGACAAGTCCAAGGTAGCGCGAATGCCTCCGGTTTCCATGAAGTTCGCGTATGCGGTGCACAAGCACCAGTAAATCCATGCGATTCAGCTTGCTGGCACAATTCAGCTGTTGTACCTACAACAAATGACATCCGCGCTGAACGATATCGACTTTGCCGACATGGGCCGCACCTGCCTCGGCCACGCGGCGCGACGCACGGCAAACCTTCTGACGCGGCACTACAATCGTCACATGGCGGCGCTCGGGCTGGAATTGACGCAGGCTCAACTTCTAGCGGTCATAGCAGACGGCACCGCACCCTCCGCATCAGCGATTGCCCGCTATCTCGGCATCGACCGGTCGACGCTCGCCCGCAATCTGCGCCCCCTGGAAGCAGCCGGCCTGATCCGCCGCCGGGAAACGAAAGGACGCACGGTCCTTCCGATCCTCACGCCGGCCGGCGAGCAAAAGGTCGTCGAAATCCATCAAAGATGGCTGGCCGCCCAGGCGGAACTGAGCGCCATGCTCGGGCCGGAGGGTGCCGACGCGGTTCGCTCGCACATGTCAGCCCTGCGCAAAGCGGTCCACATTCTGGAAGACAACGACCGGACTGCAGTCCCCTCACCGTCCCGCCGGGACTGAACGCCATTTTCAAGGACATCTCATGAGCGACACGGAAACCATCACCAAAAACGGCAAGACCCATGAAATCGGCGCGTTGCCGAAATCCGCCTTTGCCACGATGACCGGCCTCGACATATTCGAACGCATGATGGCCGGTGACCTGCCGGCACCCCCCATCATGATTCATTCCAATATAAGAATGAAGGAATTCGAAGAAGGACGCGCGGTCTTTACCGGGCTACCGGCGAAAGAATTTCTCAACCCGCTCGGAACTGTTCACGGTGGCTGGATTTCGACCCTGATAGACACGGCGCTCAGCTGCGCCGTTCATACGACCCTGAAGCCTGGCGAGTTCTATACGACCACGTCGCTCAACGTGAACATGGTCCGCCCGCTTCAGGCAAACAGCGGTGAAGTCACTTGCGAAGGCCGGATCGTCCACCGTGGTTCCCGTCTGGCGACATCCGAGGGTGATTTGAGGAATGCGGAAGGCAAGCTGATTGCCCATGGCACGGTCAGCTGCATGATTCTGAAACCGTCTTGAGATGGTGTTTTCGGAATTGTGAATGTGACTGTTCCGCGTTTGATATCTGACCTCACCTGTTCATCCAGCGGGCGCGTCAGACCTGACAAAGACCCAATTGCCAGAAAACGATCCCGGCTCAATGCCAGGACGGTTATCATCCTTTGCGGCAATGCAACGCGCCAACCAGATTATGCCCTTCCCCTTCATCAAATTTGCCGCTAGAGCTGCCCCATGAGTGACACCAAGAAACCAGCCCGCTCGGGTGGCAAACCCGGCAATCGTGGCAACAGGAAGTTTTCCGGCAAACCCACGCCCCGCAGGCCCGGCCTGCCGCCGGAGGGTCCCGTCTTTCTTTATGGCCTGCACACGGTCGAAGCGGCCTTTGCCAACGCCGACCGAAAGCGGCTGAAGCTCTTCGCCACTGAAAATGCGCAAAACCGGCTCGTGGAGCGCGGTGTTGCAATCGACGTGCCGGTGGAAACGATGATGCCGCGCGCGCTCGACAGGATGGTCACCAAGGACGCTGTGCACCAGGGCATGATCCTGGAGGCCGATCCCCTGCCCGCCTATGGTGCCGAGCATCTGAAGGGAGCGCGGCTTGTTCTCGCTCTTGATCAGGTCACCGATCCGCATAATGTCGGCGCGATCCTGCGCTCTGCCGTTGCCCTTGACGCCGATGCTGTCGTCACCACCGAGCGGCACGCTCCCGAAGAAGGCCCGGTGCTGGCAAAATCCGCCTCGGGTGCACTCGACATGATCAAGCATGTTCGGGTGAAGAACATGGCCCGGTTCGTTGCCGAGATGAAGGAGAAAGGCTTCGGCTGCATCGCGCTCGACAGCGACGGTCCGGCCAGCCTTGAAGAGACCGCCTTTACCGACAAGACCGTTCTTGTTCTCGGCTCGGAGGGCAAAGGCGTGCGCCACGGTGTGCGCGAGGCCTGTGGACTGCTGGCGCGGCTCGACATGCCCGGCGAAATCCGCTCGCTGAACGTCTCCAACGCAGCCGTGCTGTCTCTTTATGTTGCGCGCATGAAGATGGGTCTTTGACCCGATCCGGTTCACGATTCCTGCAACCGGAAAACCTTGGGGTCACTCGCGCCGTTGTGCGACCGTCAGGAGCGGCGCCAGTATCAGGCTGACACCGATCATCGGCAGAAGGATCATCAAGCCGGTCCTGATCCCGTAGGCATCTGCCAGGGCACCGATGGCCAGCGGCCCGACCAGAAAGCCCAGGAGCGCGATAAAGGAAAGAACCGCAACATTGGAGGCAGCACTGCGTCCGGGAACCGCCGCGGCTGCTGTGACACCAAGCGGAAATGCCAGCGCCGCCCCGATCCCCAGGACACCTAGCGCCAGCAACGCCGACCCGGTGCCGGGGGAAAACCAGATACCTGCCACCCCGATCAACCCCGTCAGAGCCAGCAATTGCCCGAGGCGACCGGGTGCCGCGACCTGCCGCAGCCGGTCCCCGAAAAGCCGCGTTGTGGCGACGCACAGCGAGAAAACGGCGACCCCCAGGCCGGCCATACCCGGGTTTGCGGCAAATGTATCGCGCAGAAAAACGGCCGCCCAATCAGCAATTGCCCCTTCGACCAGGGTCGTGCCGAACGTGAACACGCATATTCCGATCAGCACCGGGTGCGGCAACTGAAACGCCTGTGACTTGGCGGAAGGTTGCGTGTCTTTGCTCTCCTTGGGCAATTTCCCCGTCACCGGCAAAACAGCCGATTGAACGACCAGGGCAATACCGAGACCGGCAAACACCGGTTCAATTCCCAGACCGGCGACACCCGCGCCGATCAGGGTTCCCGCAAGAAGACCGAAACTCCAGAACCCGTGCGCCTTGCTCATGATCTTGTCGCCGGTCCGTTTTTCATGCTCGTCCGCCAGGACATTCAGACCGAGCTCCAGGATGGACATGGAGCTGCCGACGCACGCAAGCACCGCCATGAGCATCCACTGCGACGTCGCCAGAAAGGGCAAAAGCATCACGGTCAGAAAGACCGGGTAGAACAGCTGAATAATACGGCGTGCGCCCATCCGCGTGGCAAGCCTACCCGCAAAAATCAACGTTGAGAGCGTTCCGAGCGGTGCACCAACCAGGGCAATAGCGAGCTCACTGTTGGTCAACCCGAGCGATGTTTGAACGCCCGGAATATGGGGCAACCAGGCGCCAAGCGCGATCGGCTGCAAAAAGAAGATCAGGCAAATACGGGCTGAGGGCGACATGACGACAATCTGAAAGGAAAACCGGAACGAAGAGAATCGGTCCTGCGGAAAACTGCGGCCCTTCTTATTATCGCTCTCTGATCACCTGTTCCAGACTGTTTCCCTGCCGCTGGAGACAAAGCATTCGCAAGACCTCATGGTTTGCTGGCCCATCGTCTCGCTAGGGACGGTTTCAACAGCCGGACCATTTCATGTGCTGCCGTCCTGTCTCGACAGGCTGCGCGCTCATATGGCGCCCTGACCCTGCGGCAAATTTCCCAAGCCCTCGGCCTTCTAGGTCGCTCGCCCTGAGCCGGGGTTTCCCGAAAATGAATCGAGGGTCCCAACATGCCCGGGACGGCAGCCGGGTCGATAATGACGACACGAACAACGCGGAAAACGTCCGCCAGGTATTGCGACTTGCTTGTGGCTTGACCGATGTTCCGCCCATCCCGGAACGCGACATTATCCACAGCGCTCTGGCGAATTCGGGTGCGTTTAGAAAGGGTTGGACAGAATTTTTGTTCGTATCACCAATTTTTTCGCATCTGGCATGGACAAGCGCGTGCAATCTGGTAGAAGCCATCCCCGGCGCCGGTATAGCTCAGTTGGTAGAGCACGTGATTTGTAATCTCGGGGTCGCGGGTTCGAATCCTGCTGCCGGCACCAGTCATCTCCCTGAAATCGTTGCTATATTCGCTTTTCTGAATAAAAACGAACCGTGAACATGTGAGGTCGAAAAAAATCTCACATCTCACACGTGTGAGATTTTGTTCTTTTTTGTTTATGGCGAGGCTTGTTCTGTCGCGCGCGATGTTTTTACATCTTGCCTTGATTTTCATCCTAGTATCGTATCTCAATCATAGGCTGAAATGATGTCTGTACGTTTAAAAACTCAAAATGAACCGCAAAAAAAAACTCACCAGAGAAGATAAAATAAAGCTCTTTTCTTGGGCCACTCAGTTAGACCCAAAAATGAAGGGTCCTAAACTCACTGACGAGCAGAAGCGACACGTTTCTGCAATGCACGAGAGAGCAAGGTGCCTAGACTTTGCGCAGTCGAATGGTGGCCCTGGTTATTACCATGACCGAAAATTTCGAGAATTCGTTCGAGAGTACAATAGTCGAGTATTTGCAACGTATGGTTCAGAACAACCCGAGTCTTTCAATATACTGAAAGATTTTGTAGAGCCGGACGATCTTGTACTTGCTCTAAAGATACTTCCCGAGAGATTTCTTTCGCTAGACATCAATTTCATACTCGACAAGCTTACCGACCCCACAAAAAACCGAAAAGCAGAAGATCTTTTTGAGCTGGAAGAAGGAAGGATCTACTCAGTTGCTGTGCCAGGCGGTTATGAGGAATTGCAGTTTGTAGGAGTTGATGAGATCGCACTGTTTGGATGGTCCTGCATTCGTCATGGGGATGAGTTGTCAGTTTTCGCGTTGGCCGCGAAAAGTAATCCAGAAAAGGACTTAGATCCGGTTGATGTAGATGATGTGGACTTCAATTCTGATAGGCCTTTCCTGACAACCAAAGCCAAAGTGGACCCAAACCACGAGGAATTCTACGATTTCCCGTCGCTTTTTCCAGTAATCTTTTTAACGCGACTCGATCTATCTCGAGGAACCGTTCTGGTCAGATACATTCTTACCGAACGTAAAGACGCGTTTGATGTATTTGGTGATAATCGTCAGATGTATAGTCACCTTTCGACAAGCAGTTTTGGACCTTCACCCGAAGTGGTGGCAGAATTATTCGATAAGTCGAACCAAGCCCTCTCAAGACACTCCGAAGTCTTTTCTTTGTTGAGCGAGTTACCTCATGTGCTTCTGGGTATCTCCGACAATGAGGACATGAAGATTGTTCGTACGCCAACGCAATTACATCTTAATCCTCAAAGAACCAGCATTCGAAGAGTCAAAAAGATACTCTCCCCGGACGAAGCGCCTAACTTTGTCGAGGTCGAAACTCTCGTTTTGCCTAACCAAAGTGAAAATCAAAGGGAATTCGGCGTCGTTGAATTTAAGGTCGAACAAAAGGGTTACTGGAAAGAACTACGTCCAGACCAAAAAGGTGTCGGTAAGAATGGTGACCAAATTATGGGAAAAACCTGGGTGACCGTAACCGAAAGCTGGGAAGAGTCTTTTGGTTTCGCCCCACCCGAAAACAGCAAAGCCGTCTCGGTGCGTTCCGGTAATACGACCGTTCAGATAGGTGAAGTTTATGTGATGCGCAACGCCCAACATCCGAAAGACGTCCACAAAGTGGGATTCACAACCA